TCCTCTGACACATTCACCGATTTCCTGGGCTTTCTTAATCCTGGGAACTGTCAAACTTCTCCAAGCACTTGATGTTCCCCTCTTAGTCAGGAAACTTCCCCTTTCGCTTTGCAGATTTCAACAAAAACTCACTTCCTTGTCCCAACTAATTATTTCCTTGGCTTTCTTCCAGAGCAAGCTAGTTATTAAGTTTTTACAATTTGTAATATAAATTACACACAAACACACACATACATACACACACCAGTTTACTGACACTTGAGACAAGTCTGTAAAATCCTGAGGGCAGAGAGATATTGCGGTTTTCTTCATATTTGCATATCTGAATAATATTACAATAACTAAATACTTTTAGCTTTCAAACAGCTAATAACTAGAAAAAATCAGAATAGCTGTTCCAAGGTTGACTTTCATCTACCCACTGAGCTCACTCATAGACTCTCTAAACTTGCTAGCTGCCATAGGGATCTTTATCCTCACAGCCAAGCAGTCCAGCAGACATGAACTAATCCATTTTACAGATGAGGTACCATGTCACAAACACAACAGAGGTGGTCCTAACACCAAAGTCTGGGTCCCACCTTACCTATCAACACAGCCTTTTACAAATGTAGAATGTAGGCAATGTGCCATCATTATGAGATACACACAAAGATTACACAAATGGAAGACTTTCCTTTTGCAAAGTATAACTACTTCCAAAATCTCCATTCACTATAACCAAACGGGCTCTGATGTTCCAGCTGCAACTGGCTGCCTGAAAAGCACCATTAGGCTCAGCTGAATGCATCTTGCTACAGAGGCAGATTGGGGAAAAGTGCATACAAATAACATCAAAAAGCTTCCAACAACAATGCTCTTGTTTTTCCCAATATGCACTCATTGGCAATACTGCCTTTCAAAGCCTCTTGTTTTCTTGTCCCCTTCAACTTCATCTCTTGTCCACAATTAACATAAATACTGTAGTTAGTGTTAACTCTATACAGCGGCTTCTTCAGTTTTCTGAAAGTCCAACATCAATATCCTCTCAGCAGGAACAAATAGAACAATTTTCCAACTTAAGAAAGCCCCCATTTTAAGCACAAGTATTTTAAAGAATACTCCCTAACTGACTTTGCAGTACTTGAGTTGACAGAATACACACGATCTGATTTTTTAACGCTGGAGATTAGGGTCTTACAAACAGTATATTATAAGCATTTGTAAAAGGCTGTTTTCTCCCTGAGAAAAGGTACAAGACGTCTTGGTTTTGCCTCAGTTAGTTCAATCAGAATTAGTCATAACAATCCAGCAGCAGGGAGCTCAGGGGTAGGGATTCAGGGTACCCGGGTACCAGGGGCTGTGGACACAACAGCCGTGGAGACCCAAGGCCGGACAGCTCGTGATCCTTCTCGCAGAGGCCCGGGCGTTTCTGTGGCGACGGAAATGGAGCGTCCCCGCCAGGAGCCGGGCCAGTGCCCTCGACCTGTGAGCCTGGAGACAGGACACTCACCTTGGCGCCCGCTGACCAGCGTTTGGTGCCCAGGCTGAACTGGAAGGCACTCCAGGGATAGAAGGAGGGCGGGGCTACGAGGGCGGGGCCTGGGGAGGGGCGTGTCTAACGGAGTAGGGGTCGGGGAAGAAGTGCCCAGGAGATCAAAACATCGCGAGAGTTCGCCTCCACTCTCGCTGTCTCACGATAGGTGGAATGAGTCGCTCATTTTCAGAGCCACGCGTCTATTGGCCGAGAGCGCGACTTCCTGCAGGGTCCCGGGCCATGGCTCCGCTCTGACTTCCGGCCCCAGCTTGGAAGGCAGGAAAGCGGCATTTCAGTTTAGCATTTTGACGGGTCGTCTGTCCTGCGCCAGCCTCAGGAGCCGCCTGTAACTGACCTGTCTTTTCGTTCACACATTCATTCCGCTCCCAGTCTGTCACTGACAGATGTCAACAATAAAACTCGGAGCGATTCTGTACCAGGCATCGTCCTAAGTGCTGTGTTTTGACAGCAATCCCGGCTACTGTTACTCTACCATTCTGACATTTAAACAGAAGCCGTCGGGCTTACATAAGGCAAGTAAATCCAGTCAACAAGAAGAACTTGAGCACTGGATTTAAGCTCTCAAAACTCTCATTGAGAGGTGCCAACTACAGTCTCTAACTTCAGACACGCGGTCCTAGGCGTTGTGTTCTATGCTTGAGTTCCAATGCTCTGGAGGTGGAGGTCAGGATTTAGAGCCAATCTCAGCTTCGTGAGATACTGTCTCGTTGATGAAAATAAAACAAAACACACACAGGCTACAGTGTGAGAAATAACTAAGGACAATCAAAACTTAGTGAACTAATACGGCAGTTCCTAACATGGCTGAAGTAGGTAGTCCATAAAAAGCTCTTCAAGACGAAAAACCTGCTTGTTCTGGTGGAGCACCAGTGCAGTCCGTTACTTCGAGGTTGAGGCAGGAGGATCACAACTTGAAGGTCAACTTAGTGAGTAATGGGAACCTACCTCAAGTATTTTAAAAAGAAGGAAGCAAGTATGTAGTTTAATAGAGGCACTAAATTCAATTCCTAGTACCAGGGAAGAAAAGTTTAAAAATACAAAACAAAAAGGTTGTTTTGTCTGTTTTTCTTTTAAGACAGGATTTCTCTATGTAACTGCCCTGACTGTCCTGAAGCTCACTTTGCAGACCAGGCTGACCTCAAACTTGCAGCGATCTATCTGCCCCTGCCTCGCAAGTGCTTGGACTAAAGGTGTGTGTGCACCACTGCCCAACATGTAAAACTTTTTTAAAAATGTGCACATTGATGCAACAACTTTCTTTGGCTTGATTTGGTTTGGTTTGGTATTTCGAGACAGGGTCTTTTTTGTTTTGGGAGACAGAGTTTCATTGTGTAGTCTTGGCTGTCCTGGAATTCGCTCTGTAGACCAGGCTGACCTCATACTCACAGAGATCAGCCTGCCTTTGCCTCCCAAGTGCTAGGATTAAAGGCCTGAGCTAGGACCAACCGAATCATCCTCAACTTTCAAATGAACTACTTTCATGATAACTTAATTCTCTTAGAAATGAATAACTTAGAAAACAGTTAAATTAAAAACAATAATTTTAAATTATTAGTTCCAAAGTAAGATATGAGTTCAAATAAAATATAAATGATCTATTATTTAATTTAATCTTAAGGAGTTATTGAAGTATATGGCATAATATATATCCTATGTTTATTAAAACGTTTGAGGGGGGTTTAATACTTTAAGATTTCCCCCAAACACACAGATTTAAAATCAGGAAAACTATAGTTAGTGTAAAATTAAAAATCATTGGTGCATTAAGGATCGACTTCACTAATAAGACTTGCTGTTGTCTCTGACCTCATCAGAGAAGTTTCTTTTTGCAGTGGATAGTAGTTAACATAACTCACAACTGATCAAATAAGTATCTATGGAATGCTAGCCACAAATAGAACACCCTACCCCCAAGTCTCTCTAACTCCCAGACTGAGGGACCATTGCAAAAGAGGGAGCCGAAAGATACGAGGCAAAGGTCAGGGAGCAGCACAACAGGCCCTCTACATTCAAGTGGATGGTAACTGTGGTTGTCTGCGCCCCAGCTGAGGAGCTATGGACAGTTGGTGGCTTCTGGGGGAGGGAGAGTTGGTTTTCTTTTAAGATATGACCCTTGGTAGGTAGACCTTGCCCCAGTAACTGTCCCCCCCATCCAGGGTATAAGGGCAGGGCATATTGGACTCCATTCATGATTAAAAAGACGAAGAGGGGGAGAAAATATGAGGAAGTAGATCTGGGACAATGAGAGGAGTGGAGAGTGAATTTGATCAAAATGCATTGTATGAAGTTCTCAAAGAATAAAGATATTCTAGTTGTCTTTCTCTATGGTCCAGCCTAGTAAGTGTAGTCCTTAACCCTCATTAAGGAAACTGCTCCTTGCGTCTTATGGAGTCCATTGTAGAAAACCACAAGCAATCCCAATGTAGAGTGGAGACACAATGGATACTTCTATTACACAACTCCTAAGGCTTAGGAATCACTGTGGAAGAAGGCAGGAAGATTGTAATAGCCGGAGGAACAGAGTTTGCGGAGACTGTGTCTCCTAGAAATGTTAGAAGCTACATCTATACATAAAGTCTCACCGACATGTCTGCCTAAACATGACCCGAATGAGGACTGCACCAATAGCCGTGCTAACATCAACTACCAAAAGCTCAGGAGACCTCAACGCTATACAAAGAACTACAGGCCACTAAAGAAAGCTGAGATTGGGAGAAAGTATTCCCCAGAAGAGCACACCAATTTGCCCAATTTGCCTATCTAATACCAAATGGTCAGCCCTGAAACAAACACACAAATACACACACACACACACGCTATGTGTTCATGTAAAAATAAAATAACAAAAGGCTATTAATCTTAAAGAGAGAGAGAGGGATACCTAGGAGGCTTGGTCAGGAGGAAAGAGGGGAAATGATTTAATTATAATCTCTCTCTCTCTCTCTCTCTCTCTCTCTCTCTCTCGTGTGTGTGTGTGTGTGTGTGTGTGTGTGTGTAAAATATATTGTCACAAAAAGATTAATAGTAGAAAAACATTCTGAAGTAATGTAAGCATCTCAATTTTGGTTTTCATTTTTAAGAGAAATATTTTTAGCATATTAACGTTCGAAAATTGCTCGTGACGAATGAATCATGTTAAAATAGTTTCTACCTTTTCCCCAAATTGACGTTAAAATTCCTGTATTGATAGTATTATCGCTGTTAGAAGTCACTTAGTTTGTGGAGTATCCATTTTCGTATTTTTATTGGACTTAAAACAGGAGAAACTAATTGGATGTTTTAACAACCTGTGGCAACTTTTAACTTCAACAAGTCAGTGATACCACTTTAAGAAAATTCCAAGGAAAAGACTGCCCCCATCTAAAATTCCCACCTCTGGCTCCCAAGGATTGGGTTACAAAGTTTGACAAAATTCTTTTCTCCACTCCCTATTGGCGGAGGCTCTATCATTCATTCTTTGGCCTGGAATTTTGTAAAATCCTGGGTTTTTTTATGGATAAAGGCTGTTCTCAGTTTGGATGAATCCACTCTGTTCAGACTTGTTGATGCTTATCGGGCTGGAAAATCGTCAAAACGATACGGAGGGGGCCAGACAGGCAAAGCAGACGGTCAAGAGAACTGTGAAAAGGAAACGGAGTTTCACCCCCTCCGACTGAGTAATCTGACGAAGGATTTTACGACAAAGCTGGAGGCACTGAGAGTTAAGAAACTTTCCAGGTTGTTCTTAATTTGTTGTTTTGCTAGTTTTAAGGGCACGTCGAGAGAAAACACGGACGCCATCTGAGGGCGGGAAGGGGGCGTTTTCAGGGTTCTTTTCTCTTTTGAAAGAAGTTAGAAACGCGATCCCCAGTGGAGTTTTGCAAGGTAAGCAAGATTAATTGTAGATTATTTTTGCTTCAAGAAAATGTGCTTTGCTGCTATTGCTGCTTTAATGTGGATTTAGACTTTTTATATTACAATTTTAATCAAATGGATATTGTATCTGTGCATTATGATAACAGACAATACACAAGCCATCTATTTAGAGAAGAAAAATCACTGTTGACTTTGAACTCAAATTGAACAAATATTTGTAAAGTGGGAAATTGAAGGATGGATTTGCCTGTGACCAAGCCAAACATAATTTTGGCATATGCAACATCAGCATCAGCAAGCAGATGAATTTTCCCAAGAAAAGATATTTAATTAATATTAGGATATAAGGTTTGGGAACACATTAAAATAACTGCTTCTTACATTGTTGCTCTTAGTTTGCCTAGAGGGACATAAAACAGTAAAACTCCAGAAGATCATACCAAGGTCTGGGCAAATGGGGCTCAGAGATTTTCAATGAAAGCATCTCAATGTTTTCAATGTGCAGGTAACCATGACAGATGCTAGAAGCATCAGGAGCTTCAGGAAGAACTTAGCGCTGGTACCTGTTTGCAAATTTTCAACAGGGACGGAAGAAGGGAAGTAGCATCCCACAGTGCTGCAGCCTGAGCAGAGCTGGCTCTCACTGCAGCAAGAGGTTCATTAAGAACCTCGGTTAAAATGGTAATAATGCTTTATTTTGAAAAAGAACAGGAAGTTACATGAAGAGCCAGTCAGTAGAATTAAGGAGTTCGATTGTGGATTTTCAGTATGAAAACTGGCATTGCAGTTTAAGATTGCACCAGGGCAAAGGCCAGAGCTTTGTAATAAACTGACATACAAATTTGCTGCCACATCTCTTAAGACATTGTGCTTACGTATCTCTATTTACCCTTACTGGTTTACCTAAACCCTGATACATTTCCTTGTGGCTGTTGAAAAGTGCTGAGCGTTTTAATTTGGCACGCTGAACGTGTGTTGCCAGGTGTGGTGGTTGTGATATAATGAGAACACCAAGGGTGATTTCTGTTCCCCCGGATTCCTTCTTCCTTTGAACGTGTTTTTCATGGTTACACTGAAAGGAATTTCTACCCCTAACCAAACACCTGGAAAAGCCACGACAGGAAGTGTCACTTGATCTATGTCTGGGACAAAACTCAGTTCTCCGCATGCTCAGGTGGCTGCTGTGATACCCTAGAGCTTCTGCTCAGCTTTGGGAAAGCAGAGAGAATGAAGGACACCTCCTGCAAAGAGCAAAGTGCTTCGGGGACATATCTACACCCTTGCACCAAAACTGACTCAAAGAATCTGAAGCTCACATATCCCAAGATGCCCATCAGTAGTTCCTTTTTTTTTTTATTAGAAAAAAAAAATGTTTAAAACTAGGGGTTCCCTTACATCTCCATAGAGGCAAATAATCTGCTTTGATCATTTTTGTCGTTTTTCATTTTATTTCCTCCTCCATCCCCTTTCCTCCTTCCATGTATCTAAGTTTCCTGTTTCTTTCCGTGCCCCTTTCCCTCCTGGGTCTACCAGGAGAGAAAACTTGTCAGGTTTGACTTTGCGAGATTAGCTTGTTTCTCTTAATATGCTCGTTGGTTCCATCTATTTTCCTACAGATAACATGATTTCATTCTTTATAACTGAAAGAAGCTGTTGTATACCTTTTCTTCATTGGGTGGTTCTTCAATGGGCACCTATGCTGCCTCCATGACTTAACCCTAGTGTAGGTGTCTCTGTAGCAAGCTGACCTATCAGTGATTCCAAACTACAAAGGGGGAGAGGAGAAATCTCTAACTTTCTAAATAGACTCTGAGCTGGGTGGTGGTGGCACACACCTTTAATCCCAACACTCCGGAAGTAGAAGCAGGCCGACCTCTGTGAGTTCGAGGCCAGTCTGGTCTACAAGAGCAAGTCCCAATAGACTCTGAGACAATGTTCCCGTATCATGTAGCCATCTCCAATACTTACCAAACGTTATCCACGGAAATCCTTTAAATAGTCTCGCCCTCGGGATGTTAGAGAAACAAAGAAATGTGGCAAAATAAAAGTACCACTTGTGACCCAAGAGCCAGTGTCACAATCCACGCATACATACGCTCACTCATACATCCGGTCTTTCTCGAGTCTCCATGACTCCTTGATGTCTGAAGCCTTTACTGCCGTGTGATGGGCATTCCCAACCACCTACTCCATCCTTTAAACCAAGTCAGTGTGCATTGAAGGAGTTCATTTGTTACTGAATTCATTGCCACCTCCGTCCCTCGCTTCCTCCAGCTTTTATCAGCTTTTTCCCCTGAGGATTTTGGCATTCCTTACATACAGAGTCAAGAAAAACAATGGAAGGATACTTACGCAATGAATTTGACTTGTAAACTAAATACAATTTTAAGGGCTAGAAACGTTTTTCAGTGGTAGAATGCTTGCCTAGTATGCGTGAGGCCCTAGGTTCAGTTCCCTTCTAGGGGCTTAATTAATATGACAGTGTTTCTACTATGTGGATCTTGCATTAAGATTTATAGATAATATTTTTAGTGAGTGCACATTTATGGTCCTAAGAACAAAGAAACTTCAGTTCCACAAGGAATGTGATGATGGCTCTATCCCAGAGAAGGGGGTTGATGTAAAAGACATGAATTTCATCTCCAGTGTGATCCATGAACTTTAAGGCCCAATGGATCACATATATATGTATCTATAATGTATATACACAAATATGAAATATACATATATCCATTCCAAGATCTGTGCTAATCAAGATTCTCCATGATATGATGATGCCACATTCTGATTATCCATTGGGAGTTCACAGAGATTTGGAATACTTTCAGTTTTTAGCTATTACGACTACCACTTCTAGGAAGATGTGTATAAGTTTTTGTATGGATATGTTCTTCAACTGAACCATATTAGTCTATAAGTAGATGCATGAGTCACATAGGAACTCTGTGTGTAACCTTTGAAGGAGGTAACCGCACCCCTTCACCTTCTCACCAGGAGCATATAAGAGTACCTACTTCTCCATATCCTTGCCACTGCACCTTATGTTCAGGTTTATTGTTGTTGTTGGCAAAATTTGGTGACTATGAATCGGTAGCTTCTTGTGCTTTTGATAATGACTAATGATGTTAGTCATATGTGCTTCTTAGCTATCCTTATATTTTCCTTGTTAAAAAAAAATGTGCTTATTCAAATATTTGACCTAATTTTCAATTGTGTTGTCATATTGTGGTCGAATTACAAATATTTTTACTTCTTCTCTCATCCTTTAGGTGGTCTTTACCATTTACCTTTAAAGCAATAAGACTTTACTGTTGATAAAGTTCAGTTAACCCCTCTCCCCTTCTCTCATTTGTACTTTGGCTTGTATCCAGTGGACCCAAGCTCATGACAATTTACTCCAGCGTTTGGTCAGAGTTTTGTAGTTTCAGCTCCCAGATTTAGGTCTCTGCTGTGCTTGGAGTTAATTTTTCTGTATGATGTGAAATCCACCTTCCTTCTCTGCATGTGCCTCTCCAGTTCTGACATCATTTACTGAGAAGACTGTTCTTTCTGGCTTTGCAGTATCTTGGCACCTTTAGGGGGTGGCGGAACGCACAAGTCCCTGGGCTTGACGGCTGACACTGGAGAAAATAAGAGAAAAGAAGTGACTGTGTTTGCCAGGGTTAGTTTTGAACTTCTGTCCTTGTCCTGTTTGTCAGCCCTTACGCCAGTGCTGTGCCATTTTGCTGTTTTGGCTCCGCTTCTACTGAGCTGCGTTTGACAAACTAAAATCTTACAAGTTGTACACGGTGGTTTTTTGTTTTTAGAACTTTTTGTTCTTTATTTTCGAGATTGTATTTTAATTACAAGATTTCTCCCTTGCTTTTCCTCCCTCAAAAGCCTCCTGTATATCCTTTACTGTTCTTCTTCATATGCGTGATCTTTTTGCATCATTGTTTTTGCATGTGTATATGTTAATGTTGTAAATGTATGTATACAGGTAGATATTCCTAAATATAACCTGTTGAGTCCATATACTGTCTGTTTATGTGTATTTTCAGGGTTGACTGTTTGGCCCTGGACCACCGATTGGTATGCTCTTCCCTCCTGCTCCTAGCTTTCCTCAGTTGCCTATAGCTCTCTATGTGGGATTGAGGCCTCGTGGGCTTGTCACCATCCAGTTTGGCATGTTTGTTAGTGTCTTCCTCAAAAGCTGTTTTCATATACCTGCAGCCTATATAGTGAGCACCACAATCAAGATGACTCACATGATCCTCTGACATAATTACCATTGTTTACCTGATTGGGACATAATATCTACTCCCCCAGCAAATGTCGAGAATCTAGGACATTTTTTCCCGCAGTCACCATTCTGGGCACGACAGCTTGAAAATGCAGCACTGGTATTTTGCCTCTACAGCAGTTTTTGATTACTGTGGGTTTGTTAGGGCCTCCTGTTTTGTTTTGTGTTTTGGTTGACTCACTTGCCTGTTTGGGACAGGGTGTTTTACTGTGTGGTCCAGGCTGAATGTAAGCTCGTGATCCTCCTGGCTCAGCTTCCCAAGTTTTGCTATTCCAGATGTGTACTACCATACTTGGCTGACTTTTGTTTTGTTTTTGAGATAAACTTTCTCTGTGCATTCCTGGCTATCCCGCAGAACCCACTCTGTAGACCAGGCTGACCTCGAACTCACAGAGATCCGCCTGCCACTGCTTCTCAAGTGCTGGGATTAAAGGTGTGCGCCAACACCGCCCAGCTCCTGGCTGACTTTTTAAAGCTTATATATTAATAGCTACTTTTAAAATTCCAAGTATTAATTACCTAGCTTTGTCCTTTTCTAAAGATTGTTTAATCTAGTTTGAGTTTTTTGCATTTCCATATGAATTTAAGAACAAATTTTCAACTTATGCGAAGAAAAAAAGGCCATTAATATTTTAATAGATGTTGTTTCAAATCTCCAGATCAGTGTGAAGACACTGAAGCCTCTCGTTACGAATGGGGGGTGTTTCTCCAGATAGCTAAGCTTTCT